ATTTATATATTATATAAAAGTGCTACCTAAAGTTATATGCAAAGCTAATTATCATGGAGATAGGTAAATTAAATGAATTGACTAATTAAGAGCAAACTTTAATGTATCCAAGTATCAAAAAACACAAGGCAAAATGCGACTTAGAGCTACTTAGAGGTAATAAAAAACGAAGAAGAAAGAAAAACAAGGGCCAAATCAAAAAGACGAAATTGAAATTTAAGAACAAACTTCCACTATAGCAAAGGAAATAAATGAATTCATTCAAAAAAAAAAAAAAAACCAATTGAGTTCCAAGCATAGGCTAATACAACACAAACAAAAGAAACACTTATGATTTGAAAGTCATAATACACACATAATGAAAGGCAATTACTCCCACCTGAAGCATTGCACTTAGAGTTTGACATGAAGAAGCACATCAAAGAAAGAAAAACAATTAAAGAACCATAACCTTGGCGAGGAACCGTGTTTTCATCTTGCTTCATTTTGATGTTTCACCCCAGCTTGCAGGAACATGTCTGAAAAGAAAGAAAGAAAATGGAAATGTTGGCAAAGATAATTGCCAAGATATAAAAATTGAAAACGTGTCAAACTGAATCCTAAAAATGTAAGTTTGAAGTTAAAAGGCTAACCTTTATTTTGCCAAATTATGAGATAGCGTACACTCATCCAATCCTTGAATTTGCATTGGGTTAGGATGGGCCTTAATTAGAACCAGGAACCAGAAAAATCACAAAACCGAAAAAGCATGTCCTTTGCATTTGGATAGTCCCACTCCAATGATTCCCACAACTCTCGTGGACAAACATGGATTTCTCTAAGAGGAGGATGAGATGATTGGCCCTTGTCAAGTTGAGGAAGATACAAAGGAACCCTTTTCAAACTTTTACAATCTTTTATTCCAAACTCCTCCAGAGAATCACAAACCAAAACTCTGGTTTTGCCACAAATGCTCTTTAATTTCAACAAGTTAGCCAGGCCGAATATTTTTAGTTTGGGGAGAGGAAGTTCAACTCTTGCTTCTTCTGTTGGCTCCGATGCAATTATCTCCTCCAATTCTTCACAATCTTTCACAACAATGTATTCTAGTTTCTGGAGGGGCCCAAGCAACAACCTAGGCCAGAACAACTTCTTTAATTTAGGACACATGACAATACCAATAGTTTTCAAAGGAAAAGTATACGATGACAAAGCAAGAGCTTCTTCTTCAAACAGGGATCTCAAGTTTCCTAATGCAAATAGCACCAAAGTGTGAAGGGTTTTAAGTGGGTTGAACCATAAGGAGAAAACAAACTCCAGACTCTGAGAGTTAACAATTGCACATGCTGTTAATTGGACAGCATCATTCAAGAAAGAAAGTTCATTCAAGCATCTGAAGTCATGGCAATCATTAATAGCTATTGACTGAACATTGGGTGGTAGCATAATTGGTTTTTCAGAAATAGTTGGTAGAGATGATAGTCCAATCGTTCTTTTGAATCTACCTGACTGAAGTGACTCATGTACTTCTCCAACTTGAATTCTATAATCTCTAAGCCAATTCCTCCTATTTTGCATCAATTGGATGCAAATGCTCATCTCATCCCAGCCTCGAAGCAGACCATCAAATGACTCCAACTTCTTTAACATTGCCAACTCTTCAGCTTTTACTGCTATCCCGGATATTATTAAACTTAATCTTTGAAGACAGAGGAGCTTTGATAATGTTCCTTCGGGAAGTTGTCTTATTTTTGTAAGGCTTAGATCAAGATATTTGAGTTTCACCAACATTTCCATTCCTTCAGGAACTTCTTCAATTCCAGTCTTGTGAAGGTCTAACTTTATTAAGGCCTTACACTTGGATAGAGATGGTACCTCTGTTATTGACTCACAGCAATTCAATAATAGTGTAGTGAGATCTTCCAAATAGGAGATAGATGTTGGCAAGCTCTTCATCCCACTATTGTGTGAAAGATCAAGAATCTTGAGTCTCTTCATCTTTCCAAAAAAAGAATCCGGAATTGTTGATAAGTTGTTATAAGATAGCAATAAAGTTGTGAGCATTTGGCAATTTGGAGATGACAAATCATTACGGATTTCTTCTATAGAATTCCTCATTAATGAAACCTTCTCCACATCTCTTGTCCACTCTTCCATGTCTGGTAGCTCTCTCATGTTCTTGCCAGCTTTTACCATAAACCGAGGACTCTTGCTTACAATATCCAAAGCCATGACTCTCAAAAGATCATGCATCTTAACAGCTTCTTCACCTTCATCTTCAATTACTGAACTATCAAGGGTTTTAACACATTCTAACAAGTAGATATCTTCAAGTTTGTTCAAAATGTCATGACCCTTACAATTCATCTCATGCCTTGTTTTCATTTTATCATCAATAAGTCCCTCTTCAATCCAATACTCAATTAACTCGTTTTTAGGGATTTCATAATCTTCAGGATACATTGCACAATATAAGAAGCAATATTGCATTTTTTGATCTTTCAAACGATCATAACTGAATTTTAATATCTCAAATGCATCATCATTTTTTGTAGCTCCCACAATTCTTGTACCTGCCACAGTTCTTTTACGCTCTCTCAACTCATGGAGTGTATTCTCCCATAAATAAGGATTAGATATTCCTTTCATGTTACTAGCTATCGTGATGATTGCAAGGGGTAGACCACCACATTCCTCAACAATCTGCTTTAAAGTTGATCTTCCTTCAGCATTAGACAAAATGTCATTTCCAACTTTACTCAGGAATAGTTGCAATGCCTCATCTTTTGGAAGAGGCTCCACATCGACTACCTTACAATCCATTCTTCTAGCAACATCTCGAAAACGCGTTGTCAAGACCAACTTGCAACCGTTATCTCCAACCAGATCTGGAATGCCAACATCTTCAAGAGCAAAACTCTGCCATACATCATCCAAAATTAGCAAGTAACTACCCTTTCTTAATCTTTCTGATAACTCTGCTGCTCGCATAATTTCATCCTCATCCTCTCGCAAAGACAATTTTAGTCGGCTGGCAATGTCCCTTTGTAACTTGATAATATCAAGCTGTTTTGATACTACTACAAAAATCACTTTATTAAATTTTTCTTTATTCAATAGTTCATCATGCACATGCTTCACGATAGCTGTTTTGCCTACACCACCAATTCCACAAACTCCAATTCTTGTAAACTTGTCTCCCACCAAATATTCCAGAATTTTTGCTTTAATAGCATCCCTGCCCCGTAGTTCTTGAGTTGACATTGTAGATCCTTTTCCTGAGAGATCATCGACAACCAAGCACTCATCAGTTTTCGTGTATGGTTCCCCTTCATCACATATTTTCTTCAATTTTTGAGACCTGTCATTGAGATCCTTTGCTCGGCAACTTCGTGAGAAACACCTCCCTTGGTTGATTAGATCTTCACCATTTTCACCTATTATTTTTTCTGCTTTTTTCAACCAACCTTTAACTTCATTTCTTGCAATCTTTCCAGGTTGAAGCAGCTGTGCTTCCAATTTGTTTTTGATGTCTTTTTGTCGGGACTCCAGCTTCCCTTTCTCTTCTTCAAATTTTTGTACGTAGTCATTGAAATTTTTCTGATAACTTAGACATTCAAGTATTTTAGGGGCAATCCACTTCAAAACTTCTTCAATGATTGAATTTATGATGTCCATATGGTACCTGCACAATTGTTATATTCAACATGGTAAGAAACTATTTGTTTGGATGCGTAGCATAACCATAAAATTGTGGATTAAAAACATGAGGACCTTAGCAAATGGATCATATATATGTGCAACTGACTAATAAAAAAAATAATGAAAATACAAACGGGTATGAACTAAAATCCCGCATCTAGGAAATATAGAAGGAAATTGTGTTTTAAATATGTGAAGACCCATGGAACTGACCACATCTAGGAAATATAGAAAGAAAGAGTGGTTTAAATATATAAATAAAGACCCATGGAACTATTAGGTTAGTCTTCTTGTTCCAATGTGGTGTTGAAACATGTAATGAACCGTTCAATATCACCCTGCTAGGTCATATGTCTCCCCGCCAAACGGTATCAAAGCCAATGGCCTAACATAACCAGTGGAAATTTTGATCTTGGGCCAGGCTTAGCACCATGGATGATATTGTGCCCATGATAAGTATACCCATGGACCATGTCATGTATGTATGTCAAAAAATAAAAAAAATTAAAAAATAAAAGGATGATATTGTGCCCATGATAAGTATACCCATGGACCATGTCATGTATGTATGTCAAAAAATTAAAAAAAAAATAAAAAATAAAAGGATGAACTCTCACAGGGTCTTCGCAACTCACAAGTGAAAGGGGGAAATATGTTTCTCCCATTCTGAGTGTGAAGAATTAAGATTCTACATCGAAGAAATATAGAAAAAATGAGTGGTTTAAATATATGAAGACATATAGAAAGAATGAGTGGTTTAAATATATGAAGACCTGTGAAATTACGAGGTTAGTCTTTTTGTTCTAATATGGTGTCGAAACATATAATGGGTCGCTCAATGTCACCCTGCTAGGTCCTATGTCTCCCCACTAGAAAGTCTAATTTGAGAAGTTAATTAAATCAAATATGGTAAATCTAAACAGAAGATTAATTAATTAATTAATTAAGGCTTCTATACATAAACTTGTGACCCTGGCTGCAGTGGCAGTGTATGCGGATTGATGGCTCATCATCACCAGGTTTCCAATAGCAAAGATCATCTTGCCCTGTAAAATACCCCTACCCCCAAATTCCTCTATGTTCAAAAGGCAAAAATATTTAAGGTTTTGTTTGGGAGTGCTTTACACTGTTTTTTTTTTTAATCACTTTTTTCTATCTAAAATTGTAAATTTTGTGAAAATTGGGCATGCTCATTTTAACTCAAGGTTTGCATTTAATTTAAAATTAATTGATTATAGGTTCAATAACCTCATTGATGTAAAATTTTATCACTTAACACGTTCACTCACATGCAAGCCTAATATGAATGTCAAGTTCTATGGACTGTGACTTAATAAGCCCCCTTACAGGTAGAGATGATATGAAATCCGAATCCCGTCACACAAACTAACAACGAGCTTAACAAAAATGCATGTTGCATGTGACTTACACCTCCTTAAGTACAGATCTAATATGAACTTTTGGTCCTATTATAGGGTTGGCTTACTACGCCCCTTATGTGCAAATCTAATTTGAATTTTGGAACCTGTCACACACAAACTAAGAACAAGCTTAACAAGAACGTATCCTATTTTGATATAACGTTATTCAACACAAGATTTAGATCTAACTTAAAACTAATGGATTATAGATGAAGTAGGTATTCTTATATTTTTGAATTACATATCTTTCTTATTATATTTCAATATGAAATTTCATCAATCAACAAATTTATTATAAATAATTAATTTTAATTAATGTTTATACATTTTAGTTATATTAATTAAATACTAGCTTCTAAAATTGTGCTATGTGCTGTTCATTTGTATACTACCATTTTAGTAATTACTAATTATAATATTATTGATTCATAATTAAAATTAATTTTTAATAATTTTTAATTAATGAATATAAAAGTTACTTCAAACACATATTAATTTATCATAAATATATATTTAACTTTCATATCAATTAAAATTTTTCAAGATAAACAAGATAAAACAATTCATCAAATCTTCATTAATTTCTTTTATATGTGCATCTATAACTATTATTATCATATATCTCCTTTTTCCCTTTGTCTCCACTCTCCCAAATACACATATTAGAACATTTTAATTTAAAATATAAAAGATATAACTCATTAATATTATTCTCTTAGTATTTTTTTCATTTACATATACTCTATATTTTATTAATTTTTCATACAACATTATCTTTAAAACAATTTTTAAGAAGCACATCCCACCTCAACTTGATACATTTAAAAAAATTAATTTCTTTAAATGTGTCCCAAGATTTGATTAATGGCTGCTATTGTTTATAGTTGTAGCTCTACTCTTTGGAATACAGAGGAAGGTTTGTCACAACTTTTTGGCTAGAATGTTGGTAAAATGTATATACAAACAGCTAAAGTACAACTTAATTGATGAATCTAAATCGGCTATGGCAAATATAAACATTGGATGATATTAAAAAATAATAATAATTGGTACACCTTTCAATTTAATAAATTTTATAATACTTATTGGTTTAATCATTAAATTTTGCAGTTTTTTAGTTTTTTCACTTTAATTTAAATTTAAAAATAATAATTTCTTAATGAGTATCCTATGAGTGTATTAAATTGAATAGTGTATCAATCATTATCTTATAAAAAAAATAAAAATTTAATCTGACCTTTAATTAAGCTTCGTACTTACAAATTACAATTTTGAGAGGATAAAGACAGATTTCAACTATGCAGTAGACCCATTTTCTGGAGGACGATAATGCAATAAAAACAGATCATAAATTAAGATTCAAAGTAAGTGCCTGTTTAGTCTAACTTATGAAGAGATCTTTTTCTTTCTTTTTTTGGGAAAACGTTTAACTTGATTTTTCTTTTTATGATTTTTCTCAAAGTAGTTGTTCAAGCTTCTAATTAAAGCTTAGAGGCTATATTAAGCTCCAAGCCCACTACTTGTAGTTCTTTTCCTGTTAAAATCGAATGACCTCTATCAATATTTTTTAATGAATTTATGATTTAGAATTTCTGCAAAAGATTTAGTTAAACATAATTTTTATAAAAATTATTATTAGACCAAACAGGCTCTAGAGAAAATAATTAAAGTATAACAAGAAAGAAAAAAAGAAAACATACAGTAAAGTGCAAGTAACAGTACACAAGCTTGGTAGTTGCTAGATTTTGCTGATTTCTTCCTCTGTGATATCTGGAGGAAAATCACGAATATTTTTGGAAGAATGAACAAAAAAAAATAATTGAAGATGTTAGCCAAACCAAAGCACCAAAGAAAAGCAAAAAAATTAATTAAGATTACCACCTCAGAGATGAAATAGAAGATTATTTCAACAAAATGAATTCAAGCTCAGCGGACAAGGTAAGCTTACTCCAATTATAGCAAATTGATTTTAAATTGAATGCAAATGTTGTGTTGAAATCCACATATCTAATTTTCACATAAAAAATACTAACAGCTGGGAAAATTGCACTTGCCTGATTAACCTGGCTTTCTCAATGTCTGAGAAGGTCGTGAAAATTGATATTGGAAATGGATGTAAATGTATATACAGCCTGGTAGGGCTTGCTTATTGTTTCCTTGGAAATTTCTGAATCCTCCTCATTGAATTTTCTAAGATTGAGAAGATGGAACACAGATATGCACCAAAAACACACAAAGTATAATAGACAGACATAAACCAATAGATCGAATACCATTCCTCCATGGCAAGAAAAGAAGGGATTCTAATCCCATAGAGGACAGGAGAGTAGAACCCAAATAAAAGATAATTTGTGCGATATGGTAAAGCTAAATAGAAAACGTAAAGAAGTTAGCGAAGTATAAAAAAAAGTAAAGCATCTAAGAAAGCATAAATGATGGAGAAGTAAAGAGAGGTATGCCATGCACAATAAGAGGTGTTTCAACAAATAAGATTTTATATATATGTCAACATATAGGAGTTTGAAGAAACAGTAAATTGGAGGCATTTTCAACTAAAGAGGAGTACCATGAAGATAAATTTTAGGTTAAATGCTAATTTTGGTCTCTTCACTTTAAGGTTTTGCACAATTTTGATCCCTCAACTTTTTTATGCACTATTTTTCTCCTTTAATTATGAAAAGTGCACTTTTTTAGTTTTATGTTAGTTTGTCCATTAAGTTTATATGAATATATACATTTTTAATCCTTCAACTTAAAGTTAAAGGACTAAAAATGTGCACATATTAAAAGCTGAGGGACTAAAAATGTATAAATTCAATTCCACTTAACAGACTAATTGACTAAAGGATTAAAAAAGTGTGTTTTTCAGAGTTAAGGGACCAAATTAGTGCATAAAAAAGATAAGGGATAAAAATTATGCAAACCTTAAAGTTGAGGGACCAAAATTAACATTTAACTTAAATTTTATGTTGGAGGCAATTTGTGCAGTACCATATAGAGAAAATGTCTAAAATTTAGGGTATGTTTGGTACCAGAGGAGTGGAGGAATGAATTTGTTGACTAATTGGATCGTAATATCTAAAAATGTTATAAATTTGATTAATTAAAAAATTTATCTCTCCCCTCTCCTTCATCAAACCAATCATACTCTTATGCCTTACTCGGAGCTGAAATTTCAGTTTTAAACAAAATCACTGTTACAAGATATTAATATTCACCAACAATAAATTAAACTAAAATGTTTTAATAAATTGTCATACAAATTCCTACTCATTTGTATGATGCAGCTCTTGGGGGTAAGGCAATCCATCTTGGCATGGGGAAGGTGAAGAAAATGGTTTTACCAATGTAAGCTAGGTTTTTAAAAAAAAAAAAAAAAATTCAATAGATTCATTAATAATCGAAAAACATTACAAAGAAATCCCAATAAATTCAGCTTAGTGCTCTAGGTTTAGGTACTTTTAAGGTTAAAGTACCATTTTGGTCCCTCAACTTTTCACTTTGACATCAAAATTGTGCCTCAACTTTAAAAAGTATCAAAATTATCCTTAAACTTTCATTTTCGATACCGGTCCTTCCGTCAGTTAAGTGGACAGGTGGCACGTTAAAATACCACAAAATCATTGCTTTTTTTGAATTTTAATGATGTGTAAGTTGAGCGAAGAAAATTTTGCTACTGTAGCATGTTTTTTCCACGTAGAATTGCTCTCCCTTTTCAGATTCACATTTTCTTTTCAGATTCACTTTTTATGGGGCCCACATAAAAAATTGTTTTCCCTTTCCAGTTTCAATTGAGTTTCTGAAGGCCAAACGAAAACAAACATGAACTCAATACTGACTTCCAAAATTTGGAAGATACGGATGAAATTCAATGAAAAATGAAAGAAAAAGGAAATGAAAAACTCAAACTCATTTTAAGTTTTCACATAGTGCAAAATGAAACAACTTTCTACGGAAAGAAAAAAAAAAGGGGATTAGAAATATTTTCTCAACAACCAAACAAAGCAAGAAGCTAAAGAAACAGAGCAAAGAAAAACTAGCTTTACCATCCCAAACTTCAAAATTGGTCAAACCAATCACCAAGAATATGAATTTCGTGCTCAAAGCTATGGAAATGAAGTGAAATTGTGAAATTACTGGAAGAAATGCTAGAGTTTGTTCCGCGAGGAACCCAGAAACTGGGTTCTTCAAGGAACCTCGCGTAACCTAGGTTCTGGGTTCGTCAAGGGTTCCTCGCGAAACCCAGAACCTGGGTTCTTCGAGGAACCCAGGAACCCAGAACTGGGTTCTTCACAAAACCCAGATCTGGGTTCCTCACGAAACCCAGATCTGGGTTCCTTGAAGAACCCAAAACCTAGGTTCTTCAAGGAACCCAGGAACCCAGAAACTGGGTTCTTCAATAAACCTTGCATAACCTAGGTTCTGGATTCGTCGAGGCACCCAGAACCGAGTTTCTCACAAAACCCAGATCTAGGTTCCTCGAAGAACCCCGAACCTAGGTTCTTCAGGGAACCCGGGAACCCAGGAACCCAAAATTGAGTTCCTCAAGGAACTGGGTTCCTCAAGAAACCTAGCACCGGGTTAGGTTCCACCACCCAACACCGGGTTGGGTTCCTCACGGAACCCAAATCTGGGTTCTGCAAAGAACCAAGATGAACAAGAGGAAAACCTAGCATCGAGTTCCATGAGGAACCAAGATGATGAACAAGAAGAGGATGGTGAAGATGATGAGAAGGATGGCGAAGAGAATGGTGAAGAAGGTAAACGGTGAGATGATGATGTCGAGGATGAGGCTGAGGATGAGGAGAAAGAAGAAGATGATGAAATGAAAGTTAATTAACTTAATTATTTTTAAATTCATTTAATTTATAAATTCATTTTTATTTAAATAAAAAAATAACACATGAAAAAAAAATGCCATCTCATCACTGTTAGCATGATATGTTTTTCATGTAATTATTATTTTTTTAAAAATATGATTTTGTGACATTTTAACGTGCCACCTGTCATTTAACTGACAAAAGGATCATTTTGGTACCAAAAATGAAAGTTTAAGGATAATTTTGGTACTTTTTAAATCTAAGGGACAATTTTGGTACCAAAGTGAAAAATTGAGGGACCAAAATGGTACTTAAACCTACTTTTAATAACCCCTATTTATATTCTAACAAAAAAAAATTACACAGTTCCAATTATATTAGACTATATAACTTAAACCATTAAATGTAATAGACCTGTTGATAGTAAGTATTCTCCCTCCATATCCAATGATTTTTGTTTTATAATCCAAACTATAATATTAGAAACTCATGTTAAATGTGATAAGCATTAGTAAGTATCCTGTGTCTCTGGGACTTGCCGTTGTAAATCTTCATCAAGTTAATAAGGGGAGGCACGATTGGAATGGTTTTGGCAATACAAATTTTTAAGTGTTGTATTTTAAAATATTGATTTTATGTCATTTAACTATTAAAAACAAGTAATAACTATAGTTATTGGTTGATAAATAACAAAATAACTAATATGTATTATATAAGGCTAAAGTGGTGGATATGGTCCCGAATTTACTCCAAATTCACAATTCTCAAAGTATTTTTGCATTCAATTAAAGTTCTAAAGTTATTGTAATTCTCAAATAAGGTCCTAAATGGATGAAAACTATTGGGTCTGTTAAATCTATTGTTAACTTGTTGACTTTAACTTAAATAACAAAAAATAATGGTCCCTAAACTTTTAATTTCAACTTTTAATAACTTTAAAATTTTCAAAAACCTCAAAATGCTTTTAAACTTTTTTTTTTCTTTTTGTTTACCAGAAAATTTTTGTAAAACCCACAACTAAAAATTAATGAACATGTATGTGGGCCTTAATTTTTTTTTTTAATGAATTTATTATGCCAATACGTAGGACTCTCTCAAAAAATTTGTTATGGCCCAAAAAAAAACTAAAAATTTTGTTAATGGTTAATTAAATTTTAATGAAATAATTTAAAGGATAATTAGTAAATTATTTCATATAATTAAAATTAAATTTTAATTGTGACTCCCACAAAATCTTCCTTATCCACAAAAATAAAATAAAGTTTAAAGAGCCTTTTAGGATTTTTAAAAGTTTAAGAATTATTAAAAGTTAAAATTAAAAGACTAGAGATTATTTTTGTTATTTAACGAATTAGATTTAATGGTGTTAACAAAAAAGATTTAATGGACTTAACGTTTCCGTCTTGAGACCTTATTCAAGAATTTTGACAACTTTAAAACCTTAATTAAGTGTAATAAAACTTTAAAACCTTAATTGTGAATTTAGTGTAAAATCGAGACCTTATGTACTATTTTAACCATTATTTACCAGATTAAAATTAGTCTACATAATAAAATTTTCAAATACCATAGCTGAGTATTTACAAGGAAAAAAAAAAAGAAAAGTAAAATAGTTTAATCATAATCTCTTTTTATTAGAAGTAAAAAAATTTAAATTCAAATAAGATAAAATGCATGACACATAAATTAAAAAATAAAAAATAATTGTTTTTCATTACGCAATATTAGATGAAAAAAATAAAATATAAAAAATTTATGTAACCTTAACGATTTATCATATGACCCTAACCACTTTCAGGCACCATTGTGACTATCCTAGTGGTTTGTCAGTTATTTAGTATAAATGTAGGGCTTTGGATTAGTTTTAGCATGAACCATCTTATAGCATCAGCACCAGCAGCCGCAGAACGAAGCATCAGTGTCAATGCATTGTCTGGCATGGAACGAGACTCAAACCTAAGAACGAGCAGTTCGAACATATAAAGAAAGCATTCATTTATGTTCATTTTAACGTGGCTCGCAAACAAAATCCCCGAAGCCACCAAAAGCTTTCCTTAAATAGAGCATGCATATGAAGCAAGATAAGGTCCATACATCTCCAACACCAGTCTACACATGAAACAAATCACAAAAATAAGAAGCACGTGGACGGTAGAGTAACGAGACACTGTGTTCCGTGGAAAAGGGATTCCACACGTGATAACTACCATTTTCTGTTTCCTAACCATGCTAAGATTGTCTGTCTTAACCCCAGACAAAAAAGACAAAAATCTACTTTGAAAATTCACAATAAAACAAAAAATAAATAATTAATAACAAAAGGCATATCTGCTGTTTCTCATAGCCAGAGATGAAGACATGCTTGTGATGGTCTCTCTTTTTTTTCTTTTCTTTTTTTTTTCTTTTTGGCTAAGTAAATACTTGAGATTGTCAATGGAAAGAATACAGAGCCACCCAGCTTACATTCTCCCCTATTTCATACAAAAACTACAAAGAACATGACACTACAAAACTCCAGCTTTATGTCACAAGACCTAATGCTTGCAACACGAATATATGCGTTTATATATTGCACACCCCTTAAAGCTAGTAGTAACACAAGAATAAATCCAATGAATGTATTGAGTTTACACGAAAAAAACTGAAAACTAAACCCTAAAACTCCATGATCCAACTTTATAATTCTTCCTTTTTTTTGGGTTTTTTTGACGTTCTTTTTTTCAGTTTTTGTTTTTGTTTTGTTTGAAGGGGAAAACAAGTAAAGTAAAAGACCCACCAGCAGAGAGCTCACCAGCAAGAACCGTTAGCCTAGTCGTTTCCAGCTGTGCTGAACTGATTATGTATTGGAAGGCATGCTTAGCACCATGAGATTCAGTACTGGATGAATGATGATGTGAGGTTTTCAGCGTCCAGTTTTCACACGCTTTCCACTTGAATTGAATGGAGAAACACTGCCTCCACTGGGGCCAGGACTCTCCTCTCTGAAATTTGAGTTTAGCAATGCCAATTCACGCAACTGCTGCCTCTTGATAAAATCTTGTGAGTCGTCCTGTGCATTAAACATTCACACTTGAGAAAATATGATACAAGATACATCTACAAAAGATAAAGATCATGAAGCCTCCTGGTAGGCATAGGCATGTAGATTAGTTGTTGCCAAAGAGAAGTGTGAGCATCAGTGGTTTCACAGACCAAATGATTAGATATCAACTGATCCAAGGCACCGTTTAAGTTCAAGTTTCAACTAGTTTCTTACCCAGCAATAAATATGATAGAGAGTGGCTTCTAGCCTTCTACAAGGACTGAAGGTTTATCTTAGCTTTTCTTGCTTCTTTAACATGTACCAAGAATTGTTTTAAGTATCAACAAATTATCTAATGAAGTCACTGGCCTTTAAAGTTGTCCACAAATATATTCTGAAGTCAGAGATCAAAATGGAACAGCAAACTGCCAAGCAAGTGCAGCTTATGCTAATGCCTAAGTTCCGTCACCGTCATAAGATTCACAACAAAAATTGTCTTCAGTCAACTGAAAATGGTCAATTGATTGGAGGCTAACAAAGTCTCATAACAGGAGCTAGTAAAAAAGCAGACTGCAATTGCATAAATCTTATAGAGGAGATGATAAGATGATAGGAGGTACATACCACAGGTTTCAGCAACTCCTCAATAATTTCCTGTGCCTGTCTAAGCCTCATATCAACAATATTAGCAGGTAAATCAGCCTCAATTAAGATGTGGAGTGGATCATTCAGGTGCTCATAACCTGGTCTCCCTCTCAGCTTCTCTTCCTTGAGTTAGAAAGAGGATACGTACAACATGATTAGCCAAAACTAGAACCCCTTCTGATGTTTAAAAAGTTCACTATATTTTTCTCAACAGTTTCAGAATCATTGAAAAAGACACAAATCTGGTTTAAATGGGTGCAGTATGCAGGCAAAGGAACAAACTGGTCTGGCTTTACCTTGTCTGGATCCTTTATTGATCCCTTCCCCCTGATGTACACACGGCATCCAGTAGTTGCTTCCACCCGCTTCAGTGAATTGCCTCTTGGACCCAGAAGCCGACCAACAAAATTGAACTAATAGTCAAAGCAAAAGTAGATCATCAAATATCATTACTCATTAAAGTCGGTCTAATTTAAGTGGAACATGAGGAAATAAACAATCATTACTTTTCAATATAATGCCCCAGGATAATCATTCATAAAAAGCTTACATTTGGATAAGTATCAACAGGAATTTCCAGGCGCAAAATCCTCTTGACAGTGTATGAACTAGGGCTTGCTGGAGCACCTTGCCAGTCCATTGCCATACCTGCAGGTCCACTTAGTCTCTGTCAACACAAAAAAGAAATGGCAGCACAAAGGATTAATGGTCAGTGCTCTGATAACATACTAAATGGACTTGAAGCATATATATGACAGCAAGGGCATAACAAGTTGATTTTAACTAGCAACAATCATTTTTGGTAGATAACTATACTTTCCCAGAATACTAAGCAATCAAAACTTTTACAGCAAGGCCTTTACAGAACACTTCAAACATTGTTGAAAATTGCAAAATTTTCATCAAAACCATGAATTAAGTCCTATCTTTTCAGTAACTTTTCCATCTTCTGATTAAAATTCCAGACATACATTTCAAACTCATGGAGAAATCCTTGCAGTTTTACCATATTAAAAAAACAAGTAACAAAAATACAATTGAAATATTATAATTCCAACTAAATACTGATAGATAGACTCTCCATGCACTTTGTTCTTGAGGAAGGAAACGTCAAGACTTAGCAATAGCCCTTAGCATGATCTACAGGATTAAAGAACTTCAAAGATTGTGAAAGATAATTTTTCATGTGAACATCTACTGGTACCAAGATTAGACTTAGTACCCAATCATCATAAATTTATTCTCTAGTCATGATCCTACCTTCTTTTCTCTCATATTATTGTTTATGCTTACAAATCAACTTAGTAATTCATGCCATCCATAAAATGTACCAGGCAACTTTTAAGTGACGTCTAAGTTTTGAAATAAAAATGGTAATCTAACATAGCAGAGATCTGAGGCTCAGATTCAAATCATAATTCACCATTTCCTTCTAATAAGTTGTTTACAGGCTTGTTACTTTTGTCCTTGTTTCAAAGTACAGTTTATTCCATAGAATTCGAGGTACAGTTTCTAGTTGCACACATTATGTCAATCTTTGTTTTGGGCATATACATCAGGGAATGCTTTGTGATTGTTTGATATTGTAGGTGGACCCCTAACCAGTGTCCTAAGCTTTGCGATAAATGGAAACCTAACACAAATAAATTTGTATTTGTAGGGATGAAAGAAGGAAACAAAATATTGAGAGTAAAAGCAGAAGAGTAAAGACCTTTGACATGGTTATATACATGAAGAATTACCTCATGAGTTATAGTAAAGACCTTTGACATGATTAACTTCATGAAGAATTACCTCTTGAGTTAGGCTGTTCCAGCCACCTAATCCAGTGCCAGCAACATTGGACATAAGGTTTGAAGAAGCCATAGGACTGGGGCTCCTGTGCCGCAACCTGTCAAAATCACCAAACCCTTGGCTGGACATCATGCCAGAGACACGAAGTATCTCTGCATATGTAAGCCAAGCTCTATGAGAAACCAACTTGAAGTATGAAAATAGAAATAGAAGTAAAGCATCCCAAAATCGACAATTTTTTTTTTTTTAAAAAAAAGAGAGAGAGATAAAGAAAGGCAGACAATGAAGATCGTAGAATGGAGAGAAGAAGCAACCTCAACAAGAAACCACAGAAATGTAATTCACTGCTTCTAACTTCTAAGGAAGATATTAAAGAAATTTGTCCAGAAAGCATTTAAGATCCAGAAGACAATAAGAAAATTATTTTTGAAAGCTAATACTGGCAGCAGGATTGTTCATTAACTGTAAAAAGTTACATAATTTAGATTTAGCTTATCAAGGTGCCCTTTGTCCCTAGTGGATGTCCCAACATTTGAGAGCTTGACCCTTGTGTTGGTCTCATCTTCGAATGTTGGAGGAGGGAGAGGGGTTCGGAAAAGGGGTGGGCTATTCCCAGTTGCATAGCCCATTCAGATGAACCAAAGAGATCAAGGTGCTCTTTTGGACTCTAGTTCAAACCCATCAAATCAGTGGCTTACGATAGCCGCACTCAACTTTAAGATCAAATTTCTAAAATTGGCCTACTTTTCCGACATAAAGTCACAATCCACAAATGCTGAAAGCTTTGGAAGGCCGTAAATCTAATAACTCTATACTCTTTAAATTCATCTTTGTTTCTCTGACAAAGCCACTGCACCTTGGAATCACAGCAACACCCCAAACCCTTACATACACGGACCTGATCCTTGAAACTCTCCAAAACTCACAATGAGCTGAATCCTGAGGTACTTAAATGCCCATTTAACTAGAACTACGATAATTAATAAGGGGACTGCCGGAAATAACCATTTTGAACGATCAAATAATCTTTGAAAGACAATGGAATGATTGAAATTGTTACTTACAGGCACTGCAACCAAGAGGGGGATGGTTAAGATCTCTTTAACCCAAGATACAAATATAACAACATATTCAGCCAAGCTAAAAAACGCAATTCCCCAATCTAATTACCATGACACTGAGGAAGGATATCTTTGAACATCTTGTCACTGAACACAAAGGTCAATGCAAATGCAACAATCAGACCGATCTACCACAACAGCCACGACACGAAGCCGAGCAGAAATGGAGACATAAATGTAGGAAAAAGCAGTAAAACCTAGAAAAACCTAGATCCACGAGTGAAAGATAAAAGTAGTCACCTTGATTTAACAGTCGGCTACATATGGGAAGAACCTGCATGAAAGGCCCAAGCTTTTGATGCTCTGCTAAGAGCTCTGACAAGTACTGACTGCCAAGCAACAACAAACATAGATCAACAAACAAAAGAATTTTCAACAGAGCCAAACACACAAAATCAAAATTGAAGAACACAGGCATGACTGCAATCCCATCAAGGGTTCAATTTATGTTGCGAAGACAAGACACATGCTTTTCCGAGTAAAGTTCGTACCTGTCAACATCTGGGGTGCTTCTAATCTGAGGAGAAGCAGCTCTTGCAGGTGAGAAGTTGGAATTATACAGACCTGACATAACTTTGGTTTGCTTTTTTTTGAGGATTTTTGAAACCCAGAAAAAAAAATGAATGGAATTGTTAAAGAAAAGAAAAGGGTTTTAGTTGTGGTTGTTGCAGAGGAAAAAGGAGACACACAAAGATATCAATAAAGGGAGGGTTTTGTAATGGGAAGGGCAATCAAAAAAATAAAAATAAAAATAAAAATAAAATAAACACAACAGTCCACACCACCTCTCTGTAAAAATTTGCAGAAACAGAAGGCTAATCTTTAATAAATTTTTTTCCCTTTTCCCACTAATTTTCCTTTCTGCTTTCCCCCTTTTGTCTCTTCCCCCAGTAAAGATTTGGCCTTTGGGCAGTGAGGGAGTCTGTGGCAGCTAGTGGACCTATTTGGAAACCTATAAATGATTCAAGATGGTAAGTTTCATGGCAGCAAAAAAGTTTTACAGTGGCCAAATACAGGTAAGAAAATTTGGAGAATTTCTGGTGTGGGATTGTGTAGTCAAACCTTGTTTGGTGAGGGACACGTGTCACTCTGCAGCCAATCAGATTTGTATCTAGGGGAGAGGCTGGCCCCACGGTAGCAGGAGACCAAATGGCCAATGGTGAATGATAATGATGTTGCCAACGCAGGCTTCGCTGGGAGTGTGAGTGCAATAGGCTTCTTGGTAACGACGTCGTTTCTTCGAGAAATTTCCCCTTTACGTCTTGTTGGTACCTTTTTCTTGCCTTTTCCATTATTTTGACCCCTTTTGGCTTTTGGGTATATCCCTATTCCTTTGTGGTATATTTTACTTTGTGGTGTGGTGCACCCCTCTTGAATATTGACCTCTTTATGACTCAATACTACCTATTCTCCCACTAGTCTTGCTTGTGGAATCAAAATCTTTTGACAAAAAGGTTTAAAGATTAAACATGCATCTAGTGGGAAGAGGAAAAACTTCACAATTTATGTGATGATTATTGCATGATAATCATCTATGATTTATATCCTTTTAGAGTTTTTACAACGTTGTATCAATAGCATCAATTTTTGATATGGGCTTTTTCATATATTTTTTAATCCCATGTAATTTATATGCATTTATATAAGCGTTTATAACGTTCGACCATTGTTGTCCATATCGATACAAATGAATTGTAATCAACAAACTTAATTTGTCTTTTAGGTATGTTTCAATGGGTGTTGAGTTGTATGACATCAACATATCACGTTATTTTACCATGTACAACGCATCATTTTTCGAGTTATCTGTAATTAACAGGTCATATAGAATAAAAGAAGTTACTTCATAATTGCACTACCCACTTATAAATATCGAATTTTCTAAGTTATTTCACGTTAAAAGGTCATTGAAGGTAAGTGAGTCACTTTACAACTTGCCAACCACTTGTAAATGCCAAACAACTCATGAGTAAAGGAATCCAATTTCATTTATAATTGACCTTTCTAAT